CTTTGATCCCCCTTGTGGATTTCGTGAAATCTCCTCCGCACTAAGCTGTTTAAGAACATCCACCGTACAGCAAGCCACTTTCACCTGAAATAAAAATATCAAGAGCTGTCGTAGCATGGAGAAATTCCCTTCCACTGGGGGCAAGGCCGCAAGAGGTAAAAAAAATCTTAGAACTGCTTTCTACGATTAACGTTTAGTATTGGTGAGTCCCAACTTTTATTTTCACGTCATCCACAATTCAATCTGTACAGTCTACACACTTGCAGTCAGCAGCGACAGATAAAACATTCCACCGAGTTTTCCAAGACCTTTTCAGCTTAATTATCAGTGAAGACGAGAAGAAAAGCATGTAATAGTTGAGAAAACACAAGGAATAAAGTTGCTGGACATATCATCAGCTTCTACCTCATTTGCACAGAATACTCCAGGATTTGTAATGCTATTTATCTGGTAACATACAAAATCGTTGTCAGTAATAGTACATGATCATGCCAGACTAAGCCTTCTCTAGTAATAATTTGACATATGGCAGTACACTGCATACCTGATATTCTAGATCGGGTGAGTGAATGTCGAAGGCTGGCTGTAAGCAACAAAATAATGTATCAATACTGTATATGACATAACAGCACCAAAAAAAGGATGATTAAGCTGATGGAAATGTTCACCTGAGGGTAAACAAAGTCATGGTTAGCATCTCGAACAGATGGAACAAGAATCACCCGAGCAGCAGAACCCATATATTCTCCATAATCTCTCAACTGGAAAACAGCCAATTGAAGGAAATTGAATAAACATATAAAAGCCAGAACTTTCTTGGAAAAAGAGAAAAAGTTTTATATACAGATACCCTCGCAAGAATTTCATCCTCAAAGATTTCATCAAATGTCCTATTCACGGTTCCTTTCTTGATCTCGGGATGATCCGAATCTATAAATGGTCCTAGCTGTCAAGAGAATTTACGAAGGTACAATGAAACTTCTATATAAAAAGGGCAACCCAGTGCACTAAGCTCCCGCTATGCGCGGGGTTCGGGGAAGGGCCGGACCACAAGGGTCTATTGTACGCAGCCTTACCCTGCATTTCTGCAAGAGGCTGTTTCCACGGCGTGAACCCGTGACCTCCTGGTCACATGGCAGCAAACTTCTATATCAGTTAATAAAAAAGAGTTACAACTTTTGCATGAGGGCTGTAAACTCATTACCAGGATGATCAATTGAGGCTGCTTGCGACGTGCATATGATAGAAGCTCGGTAAGAGGTTCGAAGAATAAGTTATCAACAGTTGTAAAAGGACCTGCAGCTATAATCTGTACAAGAACGTAAAATGTTGACAAGGCGCCAAAACAAAGTAAGAAAAAATACAGAAAGGATGGTACAATCCTTTGCTGCAGAAAAGAGATTGGTTGCACATCCAAAAGGCAGAACCGAAGGATAATGCCCTTCTCTTCATGTATGTATGCTCAGAGCTTCTAATTACACTCAAGTAAATAAACATATAAAAAAAAAAGGGCAAAATGAAGAACACACACCAAATTAAATGGATAAGGAGCGCAGCAAAATCTGCAAACCAGAAGGCCACCTTATGGAAGGTAATATTCATCATATGACATACATAATAAATATGTCCAGAATTCATTTACAAAAGCTGCACGGGTTACCACCAGTAATAAGACAACAAATGTCTCTGAAAAACATTGTTTGTTGTCAAAAGGGGCCAACTCCAGCAAAGGATATTTCATGTAATTACATAAAAGGTAAACAGAGTTGAAATGAAGTGTCCGTATCCTCAAGTTTTTCGAACTGAGAAAGACAGGCATGAGAGATAAAATCCAAAACCAAGGATACTTCTTAGTAAAACAGGCATTTCATATAAATAATAAACAGATTTCTACCATTAGTAAGCCAAATACATGTATCTCACTCACTCTTATGTTTAATTTTGTGGTAGACTTATATGGAGTACAAGCTTACCCACCAATGACAGCTCTGGCATAGCACATGAGGCGTTGGTTGACTGAAGATCTTGATCCATTGCTTGCTTCTTAGAAGGTGCGGGATTTCCCGTGGAAGAAACCGACAAAGGAATGTGATCAACAATTTTTGATGCAATTAGACAGTGGCCACTTGGGTTATGCCCTTCAACACCAACCACCTGAGTATGAATTTTTGAGGTTCATTCTTTGTTCAACATTTTAAAGTACTAATAAAACAATACATGCAGTCTCTTTACAATACCTGGCCAGGGAAAATAGAGAAGTGGTTCAAGTTTTGCAAGTCAAGGCGCACACGCTGACCTCCAGAATGCTCAACGCTGTTAGCAACTAGATATCATCAACCATAGAGACAGCATACCCATGGAAAGACAAATTTACATAGGTGCTTAATGGTACCAAGATAGATGGAAAATTCTCTAGGTTCTTCTGACATCTATCAATCATGTCAATAGTGTGTAAATAATGATTAATGTCAAAGCTAGTCAAGATAACAACGCCAATATTTTCAAAAAGGAAGTGTTTGCAGCAATTTGGAGTGCCATGATCTACCATACTTGGAGAATAAGGAATTGGAGATTGTTTAGAGGAATATATGTAAATAGTGAGTTAGTGGTAACACAGATAAAGAAGGAAGTGATAGATAGAATTAGTACACCGAAAATGTCCAGGAAGATACATCGTTGTACAGGTTATTTACAACATTTACTGTGTAATTAGTCTGTGTTGGGGCCTTGATTTCTTAAACACGCCTCCTAGAAGGTTGGTTTTGGAACTAGGTGCCCATTAGCTTGTTATTCTTTTTGTTATCAATGGTAATATTCACAGTTGTTACCAACAATGCCAATATTCTTAATATGCTTCTAATAATATGAATGTAACTAATAATCTATCATACTTCAGCTACTGCTGACTGAATTGATCTAGAGGAATAGAAGAGCACAGAATCCTCTAAATAATGGAATACTTAAGAAGTGACTTGGTGAAAAATGCAACCAAGGTGGACCATCTGAAACTGCAGAAAAACTTTGAGACCAACTCAATCCAAAATAAAGAGCTGATTTCTTGCAGGAAGCAAAAGACTAATTATATATGCAGACAGCAGCTTCTTACCTGCTTTGCAGTAAAATAGGCTTTTCCTTCAAACGCCCTTCTTCCTCACAACAAATCATTCCAACAGCAAATACAGATCTCTGAAACAACAAGATCCATAAAAGAGTTAAAATTATGTCCCCTTGTCAAAATGGAAATCAAGATAATAATTGGAAAAGCACTTAAATGTCAAACTTTTAATACATAAATTTGCACTTGCATTATAGTGGAAAAACAGCGGAATGCCAGTGCAAATATGTGGAGTGGGAATCTCATACTTCAGAAGCAAAGATGTTACCTGTGAAGCAACAGTAGGATCAGTTGGTTCCTCATGCAATCCAGAGGCTACAAGTGCTGTTGCATGATCTTTTATTCGGCTTTCAAGAAAATTAAACTGATAAAAATAAAAATTAGCAAGAACTTCGTAGTGGAAAAACCTAGGTATTCTACCTCTGTGACATAGGATGTACCTTATTTTCCATCCTGTCATACATGAACTTGCACCCTGGCTCAGGTTGAGAGCTAATGATTTGCAAAGAACATCTTTTGCTTGGTTGGACCCTCTTTATGATGTCATCATTGGGGTTCTCCTGATCATGTTCTATTTTCATGCTTTCTCCATTGGCCTTCTCATTGAGAGAAAACTGCACCACAAACTTGTTCCTTCTTTGTCCGAAGGGTGTAATTGTTTCTAGATGCTTTCTGGAGGTGGAAATGCTCCCATTAGTTTTTTGTGCTGAAGCAGTTGTTTCTGCTTGTGATGACTTTCGTTTATCTGTTGGGGTACCTAGAATGATTTCCTTGGTATCCTCGTATTCATCATTCAATATCCTGTGTTGATATTTTTCAGCGTCAAGCATTGAGAAGTCACATATTTCAGTAACCTAGAGGAAATATCTAAAGTTCACATTAGTGGCCACTTAGCTAGACTCGCCTTTGTTTTTAGGGTTAGTTAATAAAGTATAGAATCTTTGTTTTTTTTTCCCACTTCATAACAATTTGAAAGGGGACAGATAGAGTTCAAAAAAGGTGGATAATAGCAGCTATTTCTACATCTAATATGAGCAAAACCAGTGTTATCGAAGGGGAAAAGCGCAAAAAAGCTCTAAGGTCCATTGGGGGTTTAAGCGCAAAGCGAGGCGAAGCGCTCAACATATTTTGAGCCTCGCTTCAGGGCTTAAGCGCGCTTTAAGCGCGCCTTTTGACAACACTGAGCAAAACTATTTTTGTAAGAGTTCCAGAATCACAGGCGCAAGAGATATAAAGGACAGCCCGGTGCACTAAGCTCCCGCTATGCGCAGGGTCCGGGGAAGGGCCGGACCACAAGGCTATAGTACGCAGCCTTACCCTACATTTCTACAAGAGGTTGTTTCCACGGCTTGAACCCGTGACCTCCTGATCACATGGCAACAACTTTACCAGTTACGCCAAGGCTCCCCTCGCAAGAGATATAAAATGTGAAAAGATTTTCCTGAAACAACAAAATGAGATATATTTGACCCCTGATCCGAAAAAGGCAAACTGCACATTTGCCAGAAGGTTACTAATCATTATAAGTCAGCCCAGTTGAGACATGGAAATGGGAGGTTCAAGGATACTAAATTCAAAAAAATTAAATATACTCAGAAGGCTGAACTAGAGAATACACTCACATAGAAATATCACTGGAGTAGAAATGTAAACCAGGTTCCTTTTTAACAATGTCCTCTCTCCGTTCATTCTGTAATTGTTGTAGAAATGCACCCATATGTGAACTCTGCACCATCAATTCCAGCCCCCTGAAACAAATGGCCATCAAGTGGAACTCCAGGTTTGGTCCGTTTGGATTTCAATTAAAATTCAGAGGAGTAAAATGCAATGCCACTTCAGTTCTTATCCAGAGGTGAAAAGAATATCAAAGATTCAAACTTTAGGTATATCTAGAATAACAGAAAGAAAAAGCAGGCTGGTTCAAGTTATTTGACCATCTATTTGTTGCTCCACAATATAAGTGTTTTTCCATTCTGCTTTTACTTTTCTTCAACATGGCCACCAACCAACTTACCAAAGGACTTTTTATTTCCAAATTAAGTCATATCTGTAGGCCTAAGTAGTTACCAAGAAAATACTGTCTTTGCAATTTTAGCAGCATCTGATCTAATCAAAGATGCTTCAATAGTATCTTTTAATGAATACAAGTATGGAATTTTACTATATTCTAACTAATTAATTTTAGAAGCTGAAAAACTGGAAGCCCAAAGTGTCTTAGCAATTTGAATATTCTAAAAAGAAATGGTTTTTTGTTTTTTGTTTTTTCATCCACTTAAACCTCCAAGTTTTTCACCATAGCTCAAGAAAGAGTCTTGGTTTCACTAGTATATGGCCACATATTTGACTTAGCTCTCATTTACTTAGCACAACAAAACAAAGCGAAAAAGGAAATGTGAACTCGTTTGAGGCTAAGTCTTTAATCTAATCACGCTTCAGTAACAGGTGGAGTTAATTAACAAGCAATGGTTTCTGATACGTAAATGTCCATTAGAATTGGTATATATACTACATACAAGAAAACTGGATACCACTGCTTCAAGAGGGCAGCAGGTGAACTCCGAACCCACTAACTCTACGTCCTGGATCTTCCCTATTCAGTAACTTTATTTAATAAATATTCAGTACTTATTATATTGTTTTCGTCTAGATTACTAATTCGCTTGAGAAGCACAATAAACTGAAATTTACACAAACACAAAAAAGAAAATTAGGACTTTTTTTTCACTAAAATTAGAATTAAGTGAAGTCTGACCTGTTGAGAGAGTAAACGTCCCAGCTAGAAACGAGATCGGAAGGGCTTAGGTTGTATTGTATACAGAATGTAAGACCTAATTATGACAGAAAACAAATCACGAAATTAACCCTAATTCTCCATATATATAGGGAAAGAAAAACAAGAAAAAATCATATTTGTTTACTTACATTTGTTAAGAATTTCTGCTTCATCATCGAGAGCGAAGCCATTTTTCAGGAATTCAGCTTTGATTTGCTCTTCCATGGCTGTCGCTGGCTGGCCTAGGGTTAGGGTTTTCTTTTCTTCTCTTTTGCAAGAGGAAGAACAGTTTTAGCTAAGACGGAAATGGCGGGAAAATCTTCCCTCCACTTCTACACTTGGTTAATTTATAGAGAGAGGAGAGGCTCATTTATTTCTTTTTTCTTTCTCAAATGAAATCTAACCAATTTATCAAAATAGAAATTTTTTGTGCGTCCGAATTATTAATATGACACTAGTAAAAATTTTTTTTTTTTTTTGGTAATTATAAATTTTTCATTACCAAGGAAATATTTACAATTTGTTTCAAATCTCTAGAGTTGGACATAAGCCCCAACTTCAGTATACTTCATCATCTTCTATGCATACAAAAAATAAAGGCTATACATTATGCTATATCCTCTAAACCCTCTAGCTAGGATAGTAATCTAACTACTTCAACACTTGCATCAATTTCTTCCTCCTTTTTTCCTTTGCAGTGTATGTCTTGAATAATCTGTCTTACTATAATTGTTGCTGGCTTCGTTTTCTGTTGGAAGATTTTGTTATTCCTATCTAACCACACATAGTACACACTACCTACTAGGGCCATGCGATATATTTCTGCTCATGCACTATTTCCAGACGCATTTTTCCCAGCCCATTCAACTTCTTCCTTCCATCCCATAGTTTGTCTCTGAATTCCTTGCCAGTCCAGTATTTTTTGCCATACTTGAGAAGTATTTGGACATTTAAAGAGCAAATGTTGAATGTCTTCTTCCTCACTATCACATAGTGCACATGTTGTGTCATACCCCGTGTTCCATTTCTCCAATCTCATCTTAGTGTATAGCCTATCATGTAGTGTAAGGTACAATATGAATAACCATTTAGGACAACCCTGGTTATTACAGATCAGTTTCCTCCATTGCACTTCGGGATGTTTGTCTCTCATCTTGTTATACACTGTCTTGATAGCATATTTCTCACCTTTTAGGAATTCATCTATAGTTACCCCTGCTTCCTCCAAATACTACTTAGCTTTTAAGATTTTCTGTATTAGCCATGATGCCTGTGGAGCATGGTTGTCCCATACTTGAGCCCCTTTTATATAGTAGCTATGTACCCATTGAACCCACAGCCTATCTTTCTTTTTGCATAAGTTCCAGAGATGTTTAAGAATAGCAGACTTATTCCATGTGTATATATCAACTATGTTGAGCCCCCCTGCTGATTTTGGCAAACAAATTTTATCCCATGTTATTAAAGCCTTCTTTGAGCATTCATTATTCCCATTCCATAAGAACCTTCTGCATAACTGTTCGATCTTTTGCATCACCTTCTTTGGAAATATGAAAATTTGCTACCAGAATTGCTGAATAGCTATGAGTACACTTCTAATCAACTGTAATCTCCCTGCATAAGATAGCATTTTTGCTGTCCATGAGGTCATTATTCCCACCATCCTTTCCAGAAGTGGGTGGCATTGCCCAATAGTTAGCCTTTTTGAACTTAATGGCACTCCCAAGTATCTGAAAGGTAGAGTTCCAACAGAGAATACTAGCTCCTTTATAATTTGCTCTTGTATCTGTTCTGTTACTCCTCCAAAATATATAGCACTCTTTCCTTGATTTGCAATTAATCTAGAAGCCATAAAGAATTGCTGGAATTGTTTATATAATAGTTGAGTAGATACTACACCCCCTCTACAGAACAACAATAAACCATCTGCAAACCCCAGTTATATAATATCCAGCTTAGCACATCTAGGATGATAGTTGAAATCTGGATTCCCTACCAAAGTCTTTAAAGATCTGCTAAGGTATTCCATGGCTATCACAAATAAGAAAGGTGATAGGGGATCACCTTGCCTTAGTCCTCTCTTAGCAGAGAATGGAATACTTGTTTTACCATTTATAATGACAGAGTATGATACTGTTGATAGACACACCATGATCCATTTCACAAATATATTTGGGAAGTTAAGTGCATGCAAGACTTGCTCTAAAAACACCCATTCAATAGAGTCATAGGTTTTTTGCATGTCAGTTTTGATCATGCATCTTGGTGACACCCATTTCCTCCCATATCCTTTCACTAGTTCATGACTTAGGATTATATTATATGTTACAAGTCTGCCAGGGACAAAAGCAGCTTGACTCTTATCAATGATGCTATCCATGACTCCATGTAGTCTACTAGTAAGCATTTTGGATATGATTTTGTATAATGTGGAGCAGCAAGAAATGGGTCTATACTGTTTCACTGATGTAGGGTTCTTGATTTTAGGCACCAATGTTATAGCTGTATAGTTTATTGGTTGATAAAGCTTTTGAGTATCAAAAAACTCCAGAACAGCTTCGGTTACCTCTTCTCCAATCGTGGCCCATGCTTTCTTGAAGAATACTGAATTGAATCCATCTATCCCTGGAGCTTTATTATCATTTATCCCCTGAAGTGCTTGCCACACTTCTTCTCTACTAAATGGATGAATAAGCTGCATTTGTTGCTTCCTTGAAAGCACAGGTCCTCTCCTCATATCATTCAAATTTACAGCAGGTAGTATAGGATTGGCTGCCCCAAGTAATCCCTGATAGAAGTTTATTATCTCCTATTCTATTCCTTTATCTGTTTGGACAATATCTCCTGCTGCATTTGTAAGTGCTTTGATCTGGTTCTGAGCTCTTATGTTCTTAGAAAAATAAGTTGAGTTAGAGTCTCTTAGATTAAGCCATTGAACTCTAGACTTATGTTTATAAATGCTTTCCTCTACTGCATCCCATTTCTCCAGCTGTAATCTTAGCTCTTTTTCCATTTCAAAGTGATGTGGATCCTGAGTAGGAGTTCTCATTTGTTGTTGTATTGTTTGAAGCTCATTCCTGATGCCTTTAATTATGTCAGCAATTCTAGAATACTCCCTTGCAGTTAGGCCCTTCATTGCTTGTTTTGTATGCTTCAGCTTCAGCCAGATTTTTTTCATGTATCCTGCATTGGTATTTATCTGCCAATTGTCTGCTACTATCTTCTCAAAGTTAGGGTCATCAGCCAAATAATTCATAAATCTAAATGGTCTAGGTGCTGCTTTTGTTGACTTCCCAATTCAATACATAAGGGAGAGTGATCAGAGAAATATGGGTCTAGAACATGAACTTGAATAGGAGGCATCTTGCTCATCCACTTTCCATTTACTATTGCCCTGTTAATTTTGCTAAAGACATGACTATTTGTCCATGTAAATGACCTCCCTATTGCTTTTAGTTCAGTCATACCAGCATCTTCTACAAATTCTCTAAAATCCCTTATCTCATGGTCTTGCACCATAGTTTCATGTATTCTGTCCTCTACCTCAAAAATGGCATTGAAGTCTCCCATTACTAACCATGGTTCTTGTTGCTTGTTTTCTATCTCTCGAAGCTTCCTCCATAATTCCTTTCTATCCTGCACTATATGGAGGCCATATACAGCAATAAAATGATAGGTCATTGCATTGGTAGCACATTTTATTTCAGCTTGTATGTATTGACTATGCATATTGATTTCCTTCACTATAGCAACTTTTGGATCCCATAGTAGCCATATTCTCCCCTTATTATTCAAAGAAATGTTTGAGATCCCTTCCCAATTAGGTACTATTTTGTTTATCACTTGCCTATCTTTACATTCCTTTACTCTATGTTCAATAATAGCTATGACATTTACTTTATTTACCTTGATAAACTCCATTAACTCCTTTTGCTTATACACCTTGTTCACCCCCCTCACATTCCAAGTGATGACTTTCATCTTAGTAATGGAGGGAAATGGTCTTGGATTCCTTCAACCCCTTGGCTACTTTGTCCCCTTTCACATTGTTTATCTTGCTATATTCCTATGACTTGGCCTTCTTCAACCCACCTTGCTAATGAGCTGAAGCCATTTGTTGTATCTACCTCTCTATCTGTGTTACCTCCATTTTTTGCCATTTTGCTAGCTGATTTTGTTTTCACTATTGTCCATCCTTCTGCTTGTGGTACTGTTGCATTAGCTTGTTCCTTGTTCTCAGCATCTTTCCCACCATTTGCTTGCCCATTTGTTTCCTGTATTTGTTCATTCTTTCTGTCACTTGTCTTCACTTGATTAGCTCTCCTCCAGATTTGCATAGGCTTTACTTGTTTTCCTCTCTACTTCTTCATATTTGTACTCTTGCAATTGTGGCCTATTTGCAAACATGATGCACAATACTCAGGCTACCAATCATATTACACTTCCTGTTCAAATACCCCTCCCTTAGGGTCCTGCACAGTAATGCTCGTAGGAAGTGGTCTAGTAATATTCATTTCAATAAGGACTCTTGCATATGATATGCGTGCAATATTGGTAGTACACTCATCTGCATATACAGGGGTACCTAATCCACTGCTAATTTTACTTAATGACTTCATACCCCAGCAGCTTAGAGGAAGTTTAGGAAACTTCACCCAAATTGGTATGGTTTTGAGCACTTCATTCTGAAAATTAAAGTCTGCCGACCATTCCTTCATTATCACTGGTCTGTTGTTGATTGTATTTGGTTCTGATAGCAACACCTTCTCTTTGTCCTCTATGCTTTTGAATCGGATGACAAAATAATCATCATTATGATAGTAAACTTGATGTTTCTCTGCAAATCTCCACTGTGTTACTAAAAATCTCTCCGCTGCTTCCATCGATGGAGAGTCTCCAATAACATACATGATTATAGCCATTTTCCATTTCTCGCTCTCCTCTTCTATATCCTCCTGCTCCAATTTCACAATTGTCTTCCCTTTCTGGATGCTTGGTGGAATATATCTCAGATTCATGCCTTTTGAAGCCATCTTACTTCCTGTAACTACACTTGCCTAGGTTTGCATATTTCCATTCTCCTTTGGCCGATTTCCATTTTCTACAACCTTTTGAGTATCTTCCTTCTCCTTGTTGTTAGATCCATTGTTGCCAAAACCATTACTCTGATTTAGCATGTCTTTCACCCCAAAGGTACCCCCTGCATGGCAGTTAGTACCATCTCCATTGTTAGCCCTCCTGCATGTGCTTAATTCATCCATAGCCACAATTGATTTCCCCTTCCCAGCTGTAGGCGTGACCTCCAGCTCCTGCTTGCTCGATTGATTTTCCTGTTCCATTGTTTGCTTCACAGCAGATCCATGGAGGTTTCCTCCACCTGGTGATTTT